GAGTCTGTCTTCCTCTTGTGGGGTTAGAGGAGATCAGAAGATGTGGCCTCCCTGCACCTTTGGCAGTAATAAAAACCAAAAGCCACAAAATTCCTAGAAGAAAATATAGGGGTATTGCTTCAGGACCTAGTTTTTAATAATGGATTCTGAGATACGACACCAAAAACACAAACAATGAGACAAACAGGTAAACTGGACATTATCAAAATCAAAAGCTTTTAACACAGGATTTAACAACAAATCAAAGAGACAACCTATAGAGTGGGAAACAATATGAGGGAATTATACATTGGATAAGCACTGAATATACAAAGAACTCCTAGAATTAACAATAAAAAGATAAGAAAAGTCAATCAAATAATGGGCAAAGGATATGAACAGACATTTTACCAGGGAAGAAAAACAAATAGCCAACAAACATATGAAAAGGTGCTCAACATCATTAGACATCAGAGAAATGCAAATCAAAACCACAATGAGATATCACTTCCTCCCCACTAGGGTAGCTAGGATTTAAAACAAAAAAAAGGGAAACAACAAATGTTGGCAAGGATGCGGCGAAATTAGAACACTTATCCATTACTGTTCTGGAAACCAGTTTGGTGGTTCCTCAAAAAGTTAAGCATAGAATTACCACATGACCCAGCAATTCTACACCTAGGTATATACATACCCAAGAGATTTGAAAGCAGCAATACAGACATGTGTACACCAATGTTCACTGTGGTACTATTCACAACTGCCAAAAGGAGGAAATATCATGTCCATGATCAGATGAATGGATTTTTGAAATGTGGTATACACGTACAATACCGCCATAAAGAGAAATGAAGTCCTGATCCATGTCACGTTACAACATGAACAAAGCTCGAAAACATTATGCTGAGTGAAGTCAGTCAGTCACAAAAGGGCAAACATTGTATGATCTCACTCATATGAAAATACCTAGAATAGGCAAATACAGAGAGACCGAAGTTAATTACCTGTCACTAAACTATGTTGTTGTTATGTGTCATCGAGTCGGACCCAACTCCTAGCAACCCCTCCTCGGTTTTCCGAGGCAGCATCACTCACTACAGAAGTAGATTGCCCAACTTTCCTTCCGAGGAGTGGCTGGTGGGTTTGAACCGCCAGCCTTCTGGTTAGCAGTCAAGTGCCTTAAGCACTATGCTACCAGAGCTCCTGATTCATTAAACTATACATGTGAAAAATGTGAATTGGTAAGTGCTGTATTATATATATGTATTTACAACAATAAAAGTATCCATTAGTGACATTCAGCCCTTAGTTTAATATATACAATTGAAATTTTGGAATTGCATAATGGTGATATTAACATATTTAAAATAAGATCAAAACTTCTTTTGTTCTTTAATTGTTCTTTAAATATGCAAACTGCTACATTTTATTATATTTTTCATGAGCAAATGAAAAATAAAATGCCAAAAGCAGCAGAAACATCTGTGTGCCAAAATGAAACCACTATAATAATTTCATATATCAAGACATGATTGGGGTAAGCTTATTTTGTAAGAATAATTGTTTATTATTAAATATAATTGAACAGCAAAACTTAGCCCTGTCTGAAAGTGCTAGAGCAAACTGTCTTCTCAAGTTCCTCTAGGCCATGGCTTTATGTCTAAAATGAAGCATTTTTAATAAATGCAATATATTACAGAACTACATTTATATTCCTAAATAATGAATTTTAAATACAATAGCAATAATTTAAAAACATGTGCTGTAAAAAACAAAAAAAAAGCACAGATGTAAATATACTTTTTTTTTTCTGAACCTACAAGATAACATTCAAAAGAGATTCTACAACTTGTTGAGACCTTAAGAACTAAGAACCTAAATACTGAACACAATAAATAAATATAAGCAACTTGGAGACCTGAAAAAGGGTATAAAATACCAAATGTTATTACACTGTATTAAAAATATATTTCAGTGTTACTACCTCTTTGAACAGTTAAGATTTATTGCTTCCATAAATAAGCTTAACATTAAGGCACCTGCTGTTACCTATGAGAAAGACTAGGATTCAAAACAAAGGGAATAAGCACTATAAATCTTTTTCTTTCATTCTGACATCATACAGATACTGAGTGTCAAATATAAGTTAAATGCAATCGATCAATATCTTTTAACATGTTTCCCGAATATAGTTCAAATGTTTCTCTATAACACTTTGGTCCTTTAATTAATGTATATGAGATTTTAATTAAAGTATATGATACTTTAATTAAAGAGGGAATAGGCAAAATCAAATCAAGATGGTTGGAAAAGGCCTAAATGTAAGATATGTGACTACCTCTAAGAAATAAACATACTATAGAGACAATGACTATGAGCAGATCTTGGCCAAGTCATTTAACTTCTCTGAGCCATACTCTCTTCATCTGTAAAATTTAAACAACAGCTACTCTCTCAAATTCATAAGGCTATTGTGAGGATCAAATGAGATGATGTAAAAACATTTGGCAAACTGAAAAGAGTATACAGACAAATGGTACTATCATATGCCAAAATACCTCAAATTTATGATATTCTAACAAAGTTATGGCCTGTTCCTTTTGCATTCACTTGCGAATTTATCCAATTTTGATCAATTAGAGATAGGTATGGAATGAATGGAGTAAAACTTTATATAAAAAGAAAATCTCTAAATTTTAGCTTCCAGAATTTTCAGTTTGCAGTGACTGGGAAATCACACTGCTTGATGGGCTCAGACTACCTGTTGCTACTTCCTGAAGACTAAATTGGGCAGACTTCTCATAAGTCTTGTTCCTGGCCTTTTCTCAGTCTCCTCTGGGAAGATCTTCATCTCCCTCCCCATCTGCTACTGCAGCATACATAGTTTCATTAAAAGAACTTTAACTTCTAACAGTGCACAAAGAAACGCAGCTGAGATCAATCACAGGTACATTAACATTACTTAGTCTGAAATAAATTTAAAATGGTTCAATAATCCTATCAGTTTCTTCCTTTCTTAGTCCATAAGCCTTTCCTCCATGTATAAATAGTTCTACCAACCACCTCCCCCTGAAAAAGAAACAAACCATTGCCTTCGAGTGGATTTTGACTCCTAGCAACTCTGTATGACAGGGTAGAACTGCTCCATAGATAAATAAATAAACAAAAAATAATAATAAAATTGTTGTTGTTGTTGTTATGTGCCGTCAAGTCAGACCCAACTCATAGCGACCCTTCCTTGGGTTTCTGAGGCGGTATCACTACATAAGTAGATTGCCCAACCTTCCTTCCAAGGAGTGGCTGATGGGTTTGAACCGCCAGCCTTCTGGTTAGCAGTCAAATAGAAAACAACAAAAAAAAAAAATTAAAAAGAAATAAAATAATAATGTTGTTGTTGTTGTTATGTGCCGTGGAGTCAGACCTGACTCGTAGCGACCCCTCCTTGGGTTTCTGAAGCAGTATCACTACAGAAGTAGATTGCCCAACCTTCCTTCTAAGGAGTGGCTGGTGGGTTTGAACCGTTAGCCTTCTGGTTAGCAGTCAACCCATGTGTTTCTTCTTTAGTGTTTCCCCCACTACTTAAATTGCTCAGGTAAATAGCACTCTTTAAAATTAAGATGCTATCTACTGAGAGGAGATCTCCCTCCCCAAAAAAAAAGAAATGTGAAGAAATACCAAATTAGAAGAAAAGTAAACATGGTTGATTTGTGTAAAGTATGAGGTTTTCTGAGGGCCATGGAGGAAGTACAGGAAGCCGCCATTTCCCCCAAAGAGCAGTGGCAGCCAGCAGAAACGGGGCCGGTGCTTCTTGTTCAGATCATCCAAAGAACTCTGAGGGTGTGGAATATCATCTCTGAGGCCATCACCTAACAACATTTAATTCTGAACCATTGACTTCTGACTCCCAGGAAAAGGTCCTTTCACCTTCACACCTCATCATCTCAACATTCACCTCTCAAATTAACTGCTGAAAAATAACACCAGTCTGCCAAGTCCTTCCACATAGCCTTAACAGTGGTTCTGCTTTCCAGGTGAGCCTGGATGTTAAATACCCCACTAGCATTAAAGCCTCAAGAAATTCAAACATCACCGTTGCATTCAGTAGAGTTGGAGATGTTAGCTCATTCTAGTATTTCTGCTTCCGACTTCTGGAAAAGGCTTCAAATAGTTCCAAGGCTGTAAATCTTTACAGAAGCCGACTGCCTATCTTTCTCCCATGGAACAGCTAGTGGGTTCAAACCACCGACCCTTTCAGTTAGCAGCCAAGTATTTAACCCCTGTACCTCCAGGGCGCCTGTAAATGGTTCTAGGCCAGCTTTTCCCAAACCCTGTCCTGAGACACTAGGTGGTGAGATATCGACAGGTGAACCAGATCTTTAAACAGTAAGTACGGAAAATGTGGGGTGAAATAAAATTTATATACTACAGGATTTCACAGGGTCTTTGATGTGTTGATTGGACATTTTAAAGGTAAGGGAAGTGTGCAGCTTTTTCAAACTTGTTTGGCCACAGAAGCCTCCTTTTTGCCCATAAAATATCTAAAGGGTATAATGGCTCTTGAATACTTCTTGGAAAATGTGTTCCAGCTAATTCATTCTAATTCTAACCCCCCAGGGTTGTTTGGCAATAATTAACCCTTTTTAATTTCTTACGGAGTAGAATCATTCTGCTTTTTACCAAGTCAACTACCACAGTCACCTCCTGGATTCCACTCCATGAGCATCCCTCCCAAAGCAACTGAAAACCACATTCCTTTCATTACATACTGAGGAATTCTAATAATAACAATAATGAGAATTACCGTCTTCCTAAGGAAATCCCTCATTCTTCCCCAAAACATTAAAAATAGAGATCTAATTCCAGATTTTAAGACCTAGAATCATAATTATTCTGAAGAGGTAGGAGCATTTTATCACACCACTACTACAATTAACACTATAAAAATAAAGTAACAGTAATTATTAGTATTAGTAGTGATAGTAACAGTAGTAACAGGCTAAACATTAATTTTACACCTTAATCCTACTATTTTACTCATTGTAAAGATAAGTGCATTGAGGTTTGGAGAGTTTAACTGATTTGTCAAAGGTCATACAAAGTAGTAAGAGCTGAACCTCCAACTCATATCTGACCCTCATCCCATGCTCTTAACCACTACATAATGCAATCTTATATTTCAGTGATTAAACAAAAGCATTTAGATTACACAATGGTTGTTAAACAGAGAAATCAGTGTATTTATATAAATCCAACTTAATTGAAATTTAGTTTTGGATTTCCTTTTGCCCAAATCCCTACTCCCTTACAGAGATATGCTGGGGTGGGGAGGAAGGCAGAGAAAAATAGACTACTATTTACAAATGGCAGGTATAGATACAGGCAGGGTTTTAAAAATCTGCATCCAAGGTGAAAACATTATCTGTGGTTTCCGCCATAACTGCAAAACGCTGATATTCTGAAACTCGTTTTTCAAAGAAATTTGTTTTCCCTTCCAAAGAAATGTTTTCCATAAAATCAAAGGGATTTTCTGCCTGAAAAACCTGAAAAGAAAAGAAACGTTATTATACATTCTGAAGAATACTAATTATATCCCATAAAAAAGACCAAAGATGACTAAAATGATTAACCCCATCTCATTACTCCCCAAGATCCTGAGGTACTACCCAAAGACTGGCCAAGTCAGCACTCAAGACTGACAGATTTTAAGATGATTGAGAACACTTAATAACTTTCCCAGGAAAGCATACTAGCACATCAGCCACTATAAACAGTAGGGGGAAAATAAATAAATAAATAAAGACTAAGAATCACAACAGAATGTTGTCTGACTCGCTTGCTTTGGACATGCCATCAGGAAGGATCAACTGCTGAAGGAGGACATCATGTTTGGTGAAATGGATGGCAATGAGGATGAAGGAGAATCTCAAGGAAATGGGTTAGCATGAGAGCCACAGTGATGGATTTGAACATGCTAGCAATCGTGAAGATAATGCAGGACTAGGTAATGTTTTCTGTTTTACACATGGTCACCATGAGTCAGAGTCAACTCCATGGCAGTTATCAATCTATCTACCATTAAACCAAGAAAAACCAAACTCACGGCCATCATGTCAATTCTAACTCACAGCAACCCCTACTGGGTTTCTGAAGTGATAAATCATTACGGAAGTACACTGCCCCATCTTCCTTCTGCACAACAGCTGGTGGGTTTGAACCATCAACTTTCTCATTAGCAATCAAACGCCTTAGGCACTGTGCCACCAGAGCTCCTTTATCTACCATTAGGCACTCACATATGTCTGTGTGTATGTAAATACACACACACACACACTCCTCACTTACATGGTTAGTTTTCAAAGACCATTATGAAAAATCAGCATTACACAAAAATGGAGGATGACTACATCAGATCACAAAATGTAGAATGACTACATCATTACTTAACTGCCAAACCACTGAGAATCATGGCCCAGCCAAATCAACACAAAATCATAAATGTAACACCCTGTGTTACTCTTGCCTCACACTTTGGTATTTATTACTGCCAGGCATATGTCGTTAATGTGAAAAATAGTCAGATTTTTCACTATTGTCATAAATGTGAAATGCTGGATAATGAGACAGTCGATAAGTGAGAAGGTAGACAAATCTATATATATATATAAAATGAACTCACTGCCATTGAGTCAAACAAACCTGACTTACAGTGATCCCAATGGGTTCCAAGGCTGTAAATCTTCACAGGAGACTGCCTCCTGCCTCATCTTTCTTCCACGGAGTAACTGGTAGGTTTCAACCATCAATCTTTTGGTTGATAGTCAAATGCCTTAATAAGTACACCACCATACACACATACACACACACACACACGCACACATATATAATACTGCAAAATGCTAAATTACCAACAATGTACTGTGGTCCCTGATACGTTTCTCAGTCCATAAAGGAACAGATAAATTGGTATTAAGGGACCATAACCAAGGATATAGAATAAATGCTATCCATAGTGTCCCAGTCAAAAAGTGAGACATATTCTGATGGGAAGGTTTATTACTGCTTCTGAATTAGAGAAGCAGACTTGGTGATAGAACTTGTTGGACCCTGTGGGACATTTCAATGATTCATGAGGGGGAATAAAAAAATTTCTGAATTTAGAAGTATCCCAGCTAGAAATATGAACCCATAGATAAGAATATATTCAATCATATGGCACAACTTACATAAAGCCAGTTACTAAAGGAGGATGGTGACAACATCATTGGAATAGCATGTATCTCTGAAGCTAACAACTTTGGAGTGGTAGTACACGTTTCAGAGTAAATATTCTGGTATGCTGGTTTAAAAATGAATGTCACTTAAGAATACCAGACATCTTTAGTCACCACTCCCCTTTAATAACTTCTAATTCAGAAGCAGTAATAAACCTTCCTATCAGAATATATCCCACTTTTTGAGTCAGATCCAACTCAACTGCATTGAGTTTGGTTTTCTTTGGTTTGGTCACTTCTTTATATGTTGTCTAGTGACACAACTACAGAACTGTACAAGCTTAATCATAATCTTACATACATATATATATTCTTTATTGTGATTTGGG